AGGCCATGAGAGGGTCGTACAGATACTGCTAGACGCAGGGGCCGATGTCAATATCCGAGGAGGACAGCATAACACTGCATTACAAGCCGCAGTATTTTTTGACCATAAGAAGGTCGTACAGATACTGCTAGACGCCGGGGCCGATGTCAATATCCGAGGAGGATATTATAATACTGCATTACAAGCCGCATCTTATTATGGCTACGAGAAGGCCTTACAGATACTGCTAGACGCTAGGGCCGATGTCAATATCCGAGGGGGGTGGTATAATACCGCACTGACGGCGGCATCATTGAATGGCCATAAGAAGGTGGTACAGATACTACTAGACGCTAGGGCCGATGTCAATATCCGAGGGGGAGTGTTTAGTAACGCTCTAACGGCAGCGTCGATCGACGGTCATGAGAACGTGGTACAGATACTGCTAGACGCTGGGGCCGATGTCAATACTAGAGGATGGAGTGCACTGCAAGCGTCGCAATGGTGTGGTCAGGACAGAATGGAGATCGATACAGAGGAAGAAGATTATGGCAATGCACTACAAGCGGCGTCGCTACGTGGCCATGAGAAGGTGGTGCGGATGTTGCTGGACGCCGGGGCGAATGTTAATTGTGGAGGGTGGTACGCACTGGAAGTGGCGTCGCACCGTGGCCATGAGAAGGTGGTGCAGATACTGCTGGATGCTGGTGTGACTGACCCGGGGAGAAAAACCTCCGCCGCGACCTGAATGTGATATCTATTGATGCTCTCAGCGTGTATGTATAAGCACAACCGTCTCGGTGCTCGCGGTAGCGATCGCCAGGGGTAGTTGTGGATACAAACTTCAAGTTGGCAAGTAACCTCTGGTGGCCAGATTATCTTATCAACGATGGCCCAGCAAGTATCGAGTATCCAGTGAGCTGTCCCAGAGAGAAAGATACACCCATTCTTTGTTTCAAATGATATGCATCCTGCGAAGATAAGCATATTGCATATAATCGCCTCCTGACTAGGATCCACCACAGCATATGCTATAGTATAATGTTATGGTAGCTTATGAATACGGAAGTATGCTAAAATAGTCGACCGCTATCGTATTTAACACATGTGGTGCGTTGATACTGGAAGTCATCGAAGTCCGTGGTCAATCGGAGAAGAACATTGAAAGTGGTTTCAAGAGCCAACAGCACTGATGGTATGCGTCACGTTTGTGAGCAATGTCCTATAGACTGCCTTATCGCTACTGTGGCATCCTTAATTATCTAGTATTGCGAGCTATGTATTCGGACTATTTATCTGACCGATGTGTACCGAGTGCAATGTGAAGCAAGCCTAAGAAATGGTGGTTCATTTCACGACGCGTAGCAGCACACATATTGCTGTCCTACCTAGGTATCTATTTCCGTACCAGGTCCCCCAGGCTTGCTTGTTTCTATGTCAATGCTAGGGACGTTGACCAAATGTACCGGCGAAAACCCTCACTTTTCGTAACAGATCAACTCATAGGTTGTCAACATCATCTTGGCCTTGTACCCGGCCAGCATACCCGATGCCCCCATGCCAACATGAATGATTCTGACGTGCTGTATCTGACCTTGCTATTGGTCAAGCTTTGATATAACAAGTCAATGACAAAGATTCGGCACAGCAGCCTGGATAGCCTCTGGCATGAGCCGAGGTACTCAGTGGGTAACACACAACTATCTCCGTGTTCAGGATGGATAATCGGGTCTAACATTTGCTTGAGGGTGATGGATGATTAATGGTCATATCGCAGCGCTCCTCCGAGAGATTGGCACTTCGGTCGGTCTCATCTGGTATTGCATTGTCAGAGCCATGATTCTACAGCTCTTTGGTTGGGCTGCCGAATCTCTTCAAGCATAACTGCTTTAGGACTGAGTGACTGTCATGATAGAACGGAGGAACTCAGTGACAGCAGGAAACAATGGTGGAACACTGCGATTGCATATATCTACTATCTCTCCATTTTAGACAGTAGCTTGCCCTTCTCTGCGCTGTCTCTCATTATCTCGTCCTCGTTGATGAGACTTTTATACTGCCCCTCAGCGAAGTACTCGGACTGTCTGTTCCCATACGAAGGGGCGTCTCGATAGATGATATCCTTCCCAGAGCATTCTGCCACTATACCGGTGCTCTCGGGGGCTGCAAGAAAGCCCTTAATGGCTGAAACGATCGTGCCAGCAGGGGTTATCATGTCTTCGGGCAGGACTTTGGTGAGGCGTTGGCTGACAAGAGGGGTGGCCACATAGCCAGGGCACACCACGTTGACAGATATCGGCTCGTTTAATTCTTGAAGTCTCTTTGCTAATGACCGGCCCAGGCCAATCACCTGTTACAATGCTTCAGGGAAGTATTCTGTAGCTTTGGCGCGTGGTAACAACTTACCGCATGTTTGGCTGCTCCATATAGAGGAACTGGAGCCGCGGGATACAGGCCCGCCAGGCTGCTGGTCATAACCAGCCGGCCTTTCTTCGACTTATTCTGTCGGAAAAAATACAGGCTCAAGTAAGCTGTCCAGACAACCCCGTAGAGGCATACATCAAGCACCAGTGTATCGCAACGAGGTGGAATGCCGTCAACTGCCTCGACTGGCGCGCAGAAGTCAACACGGTCACCTATGCCCTATTTTCACTTAGTAAACTCCCCCAGAGTTTCATGCACCAGCAGCTCTGGTTACATCTGCTCACGAGACGTCATACCGCATTCGCAAATACTAGTCAACATCAGCCATGACACCTGACGATTTCAGATCAAAGGTACCAAAGTCAAGCTGGCCCCATTTCTCGAATGTGCGCTTGAAGGCCTCAGCCTGGTCCTCATATTTTGTGACATTTCCACAGTGAAAGAGAATTCGGTCTCCGAACTCGTCCGCAAGACCTTTTTCAAGGGACTGGTTGATGTCCATCACGCATACGTTGAAGCCATCTTGAACAAGATGCTGGACAGTGGCTAGGCCAATACCCGAGGCTGTGTGCTAAATCAGCGAAATGAACATGAGCCCAGCCCAGACGACACTAGGACTTACCACCTCCAGTGACCAGAGCGACAGGCATGGCTATGGTCAAATGTATTCTGAACTATGGTTCCCCGAGCACCGTCTAGGCTACTACGTGCACTTGACAATTATCTGGCTCCCTCCGAGGTACTCAGAAGTTCAATACCATACTCAAAGGCAAGCGATGGATTCTTGATCCCCGCATCAACAACCCCGGAAGTAAATTCAGAAAAGCGGAAAAGTAACTGTCCACCACCATCGTACTCCGAGTGTGGTGGCGGCGGGGAAGTATGGAGACAGCGACGCCACCGTGAAATCTCGTTTCGACGGCCCATACGAGACGAAGAGAAACAAACAACAGCCAGTAAATGGTTAAGTTAATCACTCTGCAGATTTTTGTCGAATGCTTCGGTCAGTAAATCTTGGAAACCTTCCATGCTCAGATCTGGCATTCTGAGCTATAGCCAGAATGCTATCCTTCAGCGACATGTTCAGCAGAATCGGAGGACTAGATGACCCTGCAACAGTCGTCAAGCTGGGATGTGTTGCATCACTCATGACCGGTTTGGTAAAGATGTCTCTTCATTGGGTCGATGAAGGTGGCTGACAAGACATAGATCGCCCATTCGTACTACAAGAGAAATGAACCAAGTCTAGAGTCAGTGTCGACTTTAAGATTGAGCGGCGTGCACTCTGACAGAAGCTCCAGACAGTTTTTCTCCCACTGGGCTGTTTTGATCATTGTTGGGTTTACATTTCAGGCAGTATGGACGGCCAAATGGGCTCTGGCATTGGGCTTTATCGCGTTGCAATCGTTGATTTATCTCACCGCCCTTGGGTATTGCTCCCCCCTGCGATGGTCGAAACTTTGGCCTACCCTAACACTGTGGCACAGGGCTAGTATCGCAGTATATCGTCTTTTATTTCACCCGTTAAGGAAATACCCGGGCCCCTGGCATGCTGCACTGACGAAATGGGTTACGGCATATCATTCTTCTACTGGATACCTCCACAAATGGTTGCCAGCGTTGCACGAGAAGGTATTACTGGGATCTTCATACATGACACCCCACATCGAGATGTGCTAATATTACTTATCACAATTCATAGTACGGTGAGGTTGTACGCGTCGGTCCAAATGAGCTTTCTTTCAGCAGCCCCGCCGATATCAAGTATATCCATGGGCCACAGGGTGCGAGGCTCGAGAAAGGTCCTTACTATGACTCGGCAAAGCTTTTCACTGCCGGGGGTGATTCCATGCCTGCGACGAGGGACTGGGAAGACCATAGGATTAGAAGAAGGATATGGGATCACGGCTTCAGTCAAAAACAGTTGAGATCCTATGAACCTAATATGCTGGCGCTCCTTGACATCCTTTTGGAGAATCTTGGAAAGTTTGATGGTAAGGCGACTGTTATCAGCCCTCGTGCATCTACTGGAACAGACTGACGGATCCTCCCAAGGTCAAACAATCGATTTTGGTGCTTGGTGTGAGTATTTTACGTTTGACGTAATGGGCGTATTGGCCTTTGACTACAAGTTCAATATGATGTCAGAAGGTACTACCTACTGGCCTCGGAACAGGATCATTGACAAATGGTTTCGCTGATCAGCCCCTAATACACAGATGGGCCACACGCATACTCGAAGTTCATTCGAAGCGGAATGAGGCTCATGCACATCGTGGGCAATATCCCTTGGATTTGCCCTCTGATTAAATACCTACCCCTTCAAGATGCCAAAACCAAAGCCGATACGGAAATGTTCAAAGAAATCAGTCAAAAACAGTACGCAGAAAGACGTGTACGCGGAACCGAGCCCAATGACCTATTTTCTCATCTCATTGAAGGCAATAAGCATGGCCAGTATGTTAATCTCGCTATCGCTAGAAAGAGATCGTAGATTTTCCGCTGACAGATTCCAAGTGTGACGAGCGATCAGGATCTTGAAGCCGATTCTCCTGCGTTGTTCGTTGCTGGTAGTGACACCAGCTCGATTGTTATTACGTGGGTGTCTTCCGTTGCTCGGTTCAGATGGTCTCTTGTGTGGCTGACCAGTGTTAGATTCTTGTTCTACTATCTCACTCGTGACAAGGTCGTCTATTCTCGATTAAGAGACGAGATCGATAGCGTCTGGGATGGCAAAAGCCCTTTAGATGGAAACATGATTGGTAAAACCTTTTGTTGCACATCAGCTGTTCCTCCGCCTGATGCATGGTTCCGAACAGGTCCTGAGAGAGCCCCATATCTACACGGAGCCATCTATGAAGCAATGCGTCTCACGCCTCCTGGTCCCAACGGCATGCAACGGCGAACATTGAATGCGGGACACGATGTGAACGGTAAATTCATCCCGCCACACACCCAGGTATGTGTTCCCCAGGGGTTTCCCTTGAAGAATGTTGACGGTTGACATCATCGTCTCCTCGTTGTCAGATTTCTTCAAATACCCTTGCCCTTCAGCACAGCGCCAGCAACTTTACCCGGCCAATGCACTATGTTCCTGAGAGATGGATCAACGAAGAGAGGGATCCCAGCTGGAACCACGATATCCGAGCCTTCCTTCCCTTTACAAGTGGTACATTCGCTTGTGCGGGACGCGCACTTGCCATGGTTGAATTGCGACTTTTCACGGTCAAGGTAATGAGAAACATGAATATCAGTATGCCTGACGATTTTGACCATGCTGAATGGTGGGGCAATGTGAAAAGCTTCCAGTCAATGATTATGGGA